ATTGTTGAAACGCACAGGCGGAAAATCGCGTGAGCGAAGCGTTCGTAAGTCGATGCGTATGATACTCATTTTCGTCGATCCTCCCACTTCACGATTCGCCTGTGCGTCTTCGTTCAGTCGATACATATTTCACATTGTTTCGCCTATGCGTTTTTTCGCGCAAGCGGACATCTCTGAACAGGGCCTTAGGGGGGGGGGCATCATGATGCAGTTTTTCCAGAAAGCTAGGGTAACTCCGAGCCAGGGGAGTGTAGCCAGTCTAGGGGGTGGGGGTGAGGGCAGTCACTTGACATGCGTGAAAAGCTGGAATGTTCGAGTTCACACTAGTTCGCCGAGAAACTGCATCATGATGCCCCCCCTAACTGGAATAGACCCGAAATGGAAATGTAAAATCACGCATCTCGAAAATCCCTTTGGAAAACTTGGTACTGTAGGGCACTAACTATCGCGCCGTATGCCCCTCCCTTTATTCGGATATACGCTAGATTGAAAGCAATATAAAATGGGGTGGAAAAAACTGTGCACAATTTCCGAAAACTAATCGCCAAAATGTGGGCAACGCTCCAAATACTTAAAGGACGGTAAAGCAAGGTACCGTATCCTCGCCATCACTGGAGCGCGATAAACGTTGCCTGGAAGTTCGATGAAGGAAAGGTTGCCTAAGATTCTCGTTCTTGATAAATCAATAGGATATCCCTATTTTGATAGATTACACACAGTCCAACGAAGTGAGAATTACATCTACAATCCCTAGAAATGAGAAACCAGGAGGAATTGTTTCTCATATTCTACTCCTTATCAACTTCAGGCTTACTCAACTTTCAAGAACTTGTTTGAGCAGGCATATAGCAGGTTGAACGGTTTAGGGCGCTCATCCGGTAAGGGGGGGGCATTGTGATGCAATGTCAAGTGGCTGCCCTCACCCCCACCCCCCTAGACTGCCTTCACTCCCCCTGGCTCACGGGGTCCCGTACTTCGAGAAAGGTGAGGGCAGCCACTTGATGCCCCCCTTACTGGATGAGCACCCGGTTTAGTTTTGCCTTACCCATATCGCAAACCTTTGTGTGAGATACGTCTTCTGACGAGCTTTACGCGTTCAGACGTGAAGTGACGTGTACGGTTGTCGTTTGGGCAAGACAACGTCAAGAATTTGACGCCATTCTCATACTTTCTTAGCATTATTTCTGATTTCAGTTACTCTTTGTACATGATTGTTAGCCAGGTGGATCTGCCATTTGTGTATTGAATTTTCGGCTCTGTACAAGTAGGGTGGGCACCCCTTACTTCTCACGCATGTCAAGTGAGTACCATAGTATGGTCATACTACTCGTAATAACTTCTGTTCAACAAAATGCGTCACCACCCTACTTGTATCGCACGAATTTTCCATTCTCTATGATTTTTTGTTTTCGTTCTCAATGAAGAGATCCCTCTAGTACAGCTTTGCGAAGTCTAAGAAGCAGTCCACAATGATTGGTATTAGCGCAAGTATAGAGCCTCTTTGCGAGCCGTGTCAGATTTGTACCCACTTCGAAGTTCGCTTTTGCGTGCGAATGTAGAGTAGATCTGTATGTGCATTGCTAATGTAGAGTAGATGCGTATTGTGGTGCAATCGTCGAAGAATATCTACTCCGCAATCCAAACTGTGCAAATGGATGCAAGGCAGTCGTTAAAAAGTGTGACCACACGCCTTAGTGTAAATTTTCGTGAGGCAAATTTTATATATGATTTGTATACAACAGCTGGGTAAAGGAATTCGCGCTTTAAACAAGTCAAAATATTCAAGCGATCTTTAAAATAGTGCGAAGTATGATTCGGTTGGAAAGTGTTAACAGTTCATGAAGAGGCAATATCTTATTGAGATCTTATGACGCCACTCCTAAAGCTAAGAATCACAACAAGGATTAGGATATCTGTCAATACTTCTTTTCATCGTGCGAAAAGTGCTTGCGTGTTTTGCCCACACAGCGGTTCTGAAGCTGCGTTTATAGTTCGCGACTCCGGAGATCAGAATTGTACGCGACAACGAAGAAGATATAAATCAACATGGAGAGAATAGATGTAGATTGGTATAGTAGGAGAGTAATGGTGCACTAACAAAATAGATACGTATTGATTGACATGCCAGGGGAGTAAGTATCCTTCTATTTATAGAAGCGGCTAACGTTTGTGTGTCGTTTGTGGTATACGATTTGAGATATCAATGTTTTGTAGCAGGATAGTTGTGATAACACTCTTAGGGCTATATAAACACCTGCTTAGCACACTTCCGTTCATTCCACATGGTGCTGCAGTGGCAGCTGGAGGGCAGTGGAGAGAGGAAGGGAGGATGAGGAAGGGAAGCGAAAAATCTACCGTCATATCATGATTGTGTCCCTTCTACTGTTTGAAACACCATTGTGTTGCATACGCGTCACTTCCACGAGGTGTTGGTGTCACAGGAGGAAGGGACCATAGCGGAGGATAGAAAGCTTGCGCAGGAAAGGAAGGTCCCGGCGGTTGACGGGGGACTAATCTGGTTTATCATTTATCACGAATAGTAGAATAAGCAAGACTCCCCATCCCCTCAATCTTCTGTATTCATCGATTCCGCACATCGATAACTATTTCCGATCTATATCATTTCAAGTGCAATATCCTAGTTCTTGCTATTATCCTAATGTCATCCCCTATCCGAATTTTCCAAGTTGCAAAGCGTAATCAACCCCGATTTGAGATAGAGTTGGAGCCTGGGTAGTGGCCGATGTCAGACTTTGCGATTGGAGCGATTTTGCACCAATTGCAGGAGCGACGGATCGCTTGAGCGATGCGAGCGACGGGAGATTTACACCGCCGGCACCACCGATACACACGGTAAATCTCCCGTCGCTCGCAGTGCGAGCGACGGGAGATTTACGAACTGATGGCGCCGAATTATCGTTGGTAGGCGGTGTAAATCTCCCGTCGCTCGCATCGCTCAAGCGATCCGTCGCTCCTGCAATTGGTGCAAAATCGCTCCAATCGCAAAGTCTGACATCGGCCAAGTGTGCTGACAAGCTTACGTATTGATCGAATCGCGTAAAGACGCCTAATCTACTACAGTCCTAATCTCCCTCTCAGTGCATATCTTTTTCTTGTTGCGTACTATCCTAACAAGTCGTGAACTATGAAGGCCATCCGGTTCATAATACGCATTGAAACGTCCACTATATTCCAGTGAGCCTGAGGGCTGCTGATGTCTTCTTCCGGGACCGCGGCCTCGTGGGTGGGCTGGTTCTGCAGCAATCGAGGGAACGAGTTCTTTTGTGAGGTAGTGTGTCTATTATCGCTGTCTTTTTTTGTTTTGATTAACAATACAATAACGTGTATTTGTCTTTCTACAAGAAGAAAGATCTTTCAGGTTGATGAAGATTATATTGGAGACAATTTTAACCTGACTGGGCTGAGCGACTTTGTACCGAAATTTCGTGAAGCACTCGACAAGATTCTTGATCTAGAGCCCGGTGGGGTCTGATTGTTGTTGTTTAGCTTGTCTAATACTTTTTTAATTTTTAGAATTACAGTGAAATGTCTATGTTTATACAGGGTAAGCGCAAATTATGGAAACACTGCGCTATTACGAAACTTCTTTGGATTTGCCATGTACTAGTTTCTAAATGGGGACCAATCACCAAGAACTGTTTCAATTTTCAAGCCTAGTGACTCGTAGTTGAGCATCCAGCTAGCAGAATAATGTGCCTTCAATACAAGTCCAACTTTCCAGAATCATCGATTTCAGCGAAAAGGCCTCGCGGCTTTGAATTCAGGAATCTACTCGTTGTTGTGTTGATGGTTCATAAGGTGCCTAGATCCGAGCTTGCAAATGCAAGCGCAAGACTGGTATCTCTACAAGCTGTTCTTGCAGAGTCCAAAATGAGCCTGGAGAAGTCTAGTTGCGCGCCATGATTTCCGTCCGCGGCTCTGGTGCTGGTGGAGGTAGATCTGAATGTCGATGTTGAATGTTGTTCCCAAGTAAATAACAAAGTGTTGCAGTGCCGTAAATTGCGCCCACCCTGTATAGCAAATTGTGGTTAGTGCACATAAATTATTATTTCTTTGGTGACTGTATTTTAAATGCTTAATACATATTAAGACGACTCCGGGGACGATAGTGATGGCGATGCGTCAGAAGTTGAAAGGCTAGCTGAAAAGCTTTATGGTCTGATCCATGCCAGATTCATTCTAACAAACAGGTATTTATCTTCGAATATGAGTAACTCATGGATTTTTTTCACGTAGAGCCTTTCGTTTTAAGAGGTCTATCGATGATGCTGCAGAAGTGGAGAGACGGAGACTTTGGAACGTGCCCTCGTGTTCTTTGTTATGATCACCCACTTCTTCCTATGGGAACAGTTGATGTGCCTGGCAAAAAGATATGGTACGATTCCATTGACTTTAAAGTATAGCATACATCATATATGAATGGTTAGTTTGATTCAATAGGGATATATATTATATCAAGCAGGGTGAAAGGCTGTCGAAGATTTCTTGACGACTTGTCAAGGTTTTTTGCATGTTCATTCACGTTCTCCCGCGCGGACATTCACTCTCGCCATGCGCAAGCCGTCTGTGCTCTCTGCGCACACGTTCACACTCGACGCTATTTCCCTAATGAGCACCATGACTTACGGGTTTCCTTAAGCCGTTATTTCACTCCGCTTTTTTTTGTTTTTTATTTTTTTTTTTGTTTTTTTTTTTTTTTTTTTTTTTTCCTTATATCAAGTCCTCCAATTTCTATTTCCTTGTCGGACACTGACGCCTAAGTCTAAACTGAAACATGCATAACCCAACAGATTAGTAAGCCTGAGATGTCGGTCAGACTCTGCGATTGCATCGCGCGATGCAGTCGCTCTTGCAATGTGCACAAGCGACGGGCGATTGGCATCGCTCCAAAGTGCGAGCGACGGGAGATTTACCCCGCCGACGACCGATACACACGGCGCCGCTCGGGTAAATCTCCCGTCGCTCGCACTTTGGAGCGATGCCAATCGCCCGTCGCTTGTGCACATTGCAAGAGCGACTGCATCGCGCGATGCAATCGCAGAGTCTGACCGACATCTGAGCGACCTGACCTAATCGGAGGTCATGAACATCCGCTCGACCCCAACACTAATTTATCGTGTATGTATCCACTTCAGATTGACTAGCTGAGCTAAAATAATAGCTCGTCAGGTTACCCCTTTTGGCTCAAATGCAGTTGGGAGGGCATGGCGCGGTTCAAGGCTTTCAAAATCACGCCAAACCTTTCAGTTTTGTTAATTGCAAAAGCAAAATAGTTCACATAGCTAGCAGCTTCCCCCTTTCGAAAAATTGGAGTGCTTTTGCCGGAATCACATCTTGCGGCGCCATCCTCTCTTTCAACTGCTGTTGTGCCCTACTTTCAAACATGGTGCACTTAACGACTAATCTCATGAATGTAGATAATATGATGAATAGTAGAAGATCAGAAGAATAGAAGAATGAGCGATTCATTTGGATTGAGGTGTTCATTTTATTGTTGTCTAACTAGGAAAACGATAAGAGCAAATGTAGTAGTTTCATTTCTTATCTGTACTTCAGCCATTTCTTTTTTCCTAACCTGAACATCATTTGTGTGTAACGAGTTTCGTTTCCTTTTCCATGGCTGAGTGATTGTTTTCAGGTCAAGATGTACTGTACGTCATGCAGCGACATTTATTATCCAAAGCATGCTCGTCACCAGTCGATTGATGGTGCTTACTTTGGGACATCTTTCCCGGAGATGTTTCTCATGATGTATCCTGAGTATCGTCGGCCGAAGCCACAACAGTTTGAACCGAGGTTCGCGTTTCTATGATAATCTACTTCTATTGTCTACACGATAACTCCTACAGTGTTTCGAAAAAAGAAAGAAATTAGGTAGGTCAAGAGAATGGAGAGAGCAACACAGTTGAGGTGCAACCATAATAGCTCCTATGAATTTGAATGCAGCTCTTGCAATATGCTGATACCGTTGCAATTTGAAGTAGAAGAGCCAGGTGTGGGTGAGAAAAACGGAGAGAATCAGTAAAAAACCCGAGAGATGGATCTTCGTTTCGATTGTTGGCTTTGAAAGTGGACGAGTTTACTGCTGCTGTAGGGCTCATATATCTACGGCATCGATGGGCAGTCGCTGCTTCGACAGCTGTTCCACCATTGCATTTTTGAAAAGAAAACTGAACTGCGATTGTTAGGGTCTCATTCCAAATACGTTGCTGATATCTCCCTTCACGTGAACATGTCTGTGAGACGCTTTATCACGTCGTCGACAGCTCGCCCTACTCCGGCAAAGCTCCAGCTGCTATCTGTCTAAATGGGTTTTCCTACCCTCGAAACCACCCAATTTTTTCCCTGAACATCCGTTTAATTGAGATTTTTGTGTTCAAAATTTCGCTAACTTTTGAGAATATGTCATATCACTTTTCCTACTCTTAGGCTGTTCGGGTTCAAAATTCGTCAGCCACGAGAAGACGATAAGGAAGGCGAACGCGTTTGAGATCGACACCAAAGCTTCCATACATGCTCACTCGTCACAGGTATTCTGCTAGTGGCACAATCAAGTGCCAACTGTTTATGCACTTCCAAAAACGTATAGTTCAGGTTAAAAACTGTGATTATGAACTTTGTTTATGTATATATTTATTGAAGAATCTTGTGGTCCATTTCGTTCTTTTCATAATTGTTAAAATTATTTACTGACGTTTAAATATGGTTGTGTTGGGAATGTTCTTTTTCGATACGAATTCCAACCATAATGCACCTGAACTTGAGAGAATCGAGTAAAAATATTCACTTAGCGATTTTTTCTAGTGAGTCATGAACACTTGCACACAGAAACATCGATATTAGAACAAAATTATTGGACGAGGTCCACTTTCCAAATGTTCTCTAACGGAAGTAGTTGAACTGCTGCTGTTGAGATGGTGCCCATGCTGAACCTTGCTGACGGTTCATCGCACGAGATGGGGCAAAGCCAAGAGCTTTTTGCAGGTTTTGTCGGATAGTCATTGTACACAAAATGTAAAGAAAGATAAATGAGCAATCACGCATATCATCTCCAACCTGAAATGACACTTCATAATAATTCTGTGGTAGTATCACATCAAGCTTAAACAAAGAAACTCTTCCTTTGTCAGTGAGAGAAAAATGTTTGGGAATGAATCGAAATGCCACTCACAAGATTTCTGTGTGACAATCCCTGAAGAAATCCAATCGGAACAAAAGGTAAACGAGCAACCACCCTTCCGTCGAAAATAGAATTGAACGTGGACAATAGGGCAGTGAATGCAAGTCCAATAGCAAACATTGACTTCATTTTAAACATAGACATATCTCGATTCGTTGCCTTAAATCGTTAGGTGCAGAACAGACTGACAAAAAAAGAACTATAAATCTGAGTATTATGGAAACGCCTCACAAACCTTTAATCTCTCCTCATCTCGTTCCAGACGCTTTTTGGCGTTTTTATCCACAACCTCGCCAGCTTCCTGCTTTTTCTTTTCTAATCGCTTGGTTTTCCGTTCCATTTCCGACTGAAATGTTTACGACAATTTTCAGTCAAACAGTAATTAAAAGCAGTAAACTGACTTTCAATCGCTTGTACTGCTCCGATCGGTAGACTAGTACATACGTGAGACCCTCTCCAGCCAGTGCAGTGCAGAAGGCGATCGCAATAATAAGCAAGCAATCGGACAACATTGAATGTACTAAAACATTAATTACTACAAGTGGTAAAATACTAGTAGCCATAACGACCTCGACGGCCCATTTTGGTGAGATAGATGTCAGACTCGGCGATAGTGCAGTCGCCTAGTCTGACGTCCATTTAGGAGCGATTTCCTATCCAGAGGATCCTGAGTCTTCACAAACGCTAGATATGGCATTAAAAAAGGAGAGGGAGTAGTGGGTCATGATGATCACAAAATTAAAGGGCAATTCGAAACATTAACGCATACACAGAAAAGAAATTGATATCAAAAGGTAGTCACCAAGCAGAAGTTCGAACCAAATTCAAGCATATTATTTATTATATCAAAATGCAAGTTATAATAAGTTGCACACAGTACGCAACAACGCTTTTTGACCAGAACAACCAACAAGCATATAATAACCAAGAAAAACGACTGAACAAGAAAAGAACAACCGATAGATCAACAATGATGATTAAAGAAAATACTCGATATTCATCTCTATCGCACAACACGGCAGGGTGAGACCAAAGGCAGTGATTACCTCTGGATGCAAAACA